TATTGATCTGAGAATCGCTTACCGTGATAAGGTCAGCAAAGGCGAGGACTGGCGGTGGATTTTCGACAGGAGTGATGATGATGGTGAACATCTGATTGTCCAGACGGTTGTGGTCCACGTCAGAGACGGAGAAAGAGAAGCTGTCCGTGACCAGGTGACCATCCGTTTCAAACACAGCCGAGTACCTAGAAAGGCCAAAAACAATCAAATGAACGAGACACACTGACGAGCCAGGTTAAATGGCTGCATCTTTGTTTAAAAACGGGGCCAGAAGCAACATATTCTTTCAAGGGAGTTGCCATCAGTTGCTTAAATACTTTAACACAATTTTTGAAAATTCCGTCAAATAAAAAATGCATACCTAATTTTCTCATCGTTGATGTCTTCCATTGTGAAATTTGAAAGCTCCGAGAGTTCTTCCACCTCAGGTCCCGAGGTTCTTAAGAGAGTGCCGTACATAGGCAGAGAGCTTAACCGAATCCAGATCTCCGCGTCGGGGGAAGAATCGTCCTAATCGGGCAAATACGAGGCAGGACGTGAATGCACGTTTGCAGGAATAAAAACTTCCGGAAGTTAAAGAGGTACGGGTGGGTGCTGCTTCCTCTGCTAATTGGAAAAGTCTCTCTCTGTCACAAAGCAACACCATTTCAAACCGTATGAAAAATCCAGTATTTATTCCTCCTGAAACGCCTCATTGATAATATCATTTTCTAAGAGTAGCTCAAGATAACAGTAAGGGAAATACACTTTACGTACGGGCGTAAAACAAAGAGACGACCTATTGCTCTTGTAAGAGCCATACACGTATTATTTTTATTATAAGCATCCAGTGAAGAATAAAACATGGTCAGTGGGAAGTCATCTATCTATAAACAAAGATGTAGGCTGCTTCTAGAATGTCTAAGGATGGTTTGCTTTTTAGAAACAGGTAAAATTCCATTATAACTACAATACAATGATAAAATTCCATGAGACAGAAGTTATTTAAAGCTCAGCCAATGACTCACTTTAACATTCAACATGATAACATTTTGGATTAACCAGAGAACAAATAGCTTCCAAATTTCAC